GCGGCCGTTCTAGCGATAACCGTCGGCCACCGGTGACCGGGTCATCTGCGACCCGACGTATTCGTCAATTCAGTCAATTTCCGGCAATTGAACGAAGTGAACGATGGTTATAGAAAGCAAGTTTAAGACATGAACAACAGAGAGTCTAATTAGTCGACGCGAAATATAGTAAAGTCTCCCTAATTGTCCACGTTTTTAGAATTGTTGGTAATCGGCAACTATGTAAGCTTCATTGATCGTGTCTCCTCTTCCCTAACTGTCCACTTTTGTTTTCAAGCCGAGGGTCAATTGGAGGGAATTTACTGTAACTCGTAATATAGTAAATTCTCTGTAATTGTCCCTCAGTTTTTACGCGAAACTGGACAGTTAGGGAAGAGAAGATACGATTATTTGAACCCCGCACCTCGTTTTTAAAATTGTCGACAATCGGCAATTACAAAAATTATAATCTATAATCGTAACTAAGCTAAAACTGTGATCGTGTCTTCTCTTCCCTAACTGTTCATTTTCGTTTCCAAGCCGTGGGACAATTGGAGAGAATTTACTGCAATTTCTAATACAGTAAATTCTCTCTTATTGTCCCACGACTTTTACACGAAAATGGACTATAAAAACGAGTCGCGAGGCTCCAATAATCGTGTCTCCTCTTCCCTAACTGTCTATTTTCGTTTCCACAACGAGGGACAATTGCAGATAAATTGCAGATACAGTAAATTCTCTCTAATCAACCCATAGCTTTTAAACAAAAATGGACTATAAAAACGAGTAGCGAGGCTCCAATAATCGTGTCTCCTCTTCCCTATCTATCCATTCGTTTCCAAGCTGAGGGACAATTGCAGACAAATTTACTGTAACTCCTAACACAGTAAATTCTCTCCAATCGTCCCCCAGCTTGTACACAAAAATGAACACTTAGGGAAGAGAAGATTGTTATATAAGATTGTATTGTTGACAATCGTCAACTATAAAAAATAAAAATCTACAATCACAACTAACCTAAAACTAAGGTCTAAAACTATCTCCACATGCCTAATTGTCAACTTTCGTTTCCAAGCCGCGGGTCAATTAGGGAGAATTCGTTGCAGTTAGTTTTTCGAAGCTAATTGTACATTCTAATTCCCTTTCGTTCGTCGTGGCGGACGGTAGCAGACTCGGTAGCCAGAAGCGACACGGCGCCCGATTGCGACAGAATTTTGCACCTCGGGGCTCGCGAATTACCCGCTCGTAGAAAACTGTTGTAACATTGGTTTCTCGTTCTGGCCGGAGGCCTCCTCGCCTCGCAGCGTTGCCGCTTTCACTAGGTGTAAATAAACGCCGGTCGAAACGACCGATCGCCTGCGTTCGTCGCTCGCGCGAACTAAGCCGGACGGCCGCATCGCGATGCTCGAATTTACGACCGGCGCGGCCTGCAATCATCGTTACGCTAAACAGCGACACGAAACGGAACGTTTTCAGTTAGAGGCCTTCTTTTCCGCGCGATTTACGATCACCGTTCAGAGAAACCTGCCTGCGATCGCAATGGGTGCTCGGCGGCGAGAGTCGACGACGCGTTTATTTTGATAGCGCCCTCGCGGCACGGCTTTCATTGTGCCGCAGCGGTGCGATAGTTCGTCGCGAACGACATGGTAACCTTATGGCAGCCTCGGTCGAACCTGCGGTAACTAGACGCTTCCTATCTACCGTGCTCGTCCGTCGCGATGCGGCGGCGCGCGCGCGATTGGATTCTCGAAAGATGCTGCGTCGGATAGAAATAGAATATTTTCAGAATATTTTTATGGTTGTTAAGGTTGTAAATTATATTATAAATCGTTATGATTATAAATTCAAGATTACGAGACCGAGATTACAAGATTTACAATTTTTCCAAGACCGAACATCGCGGTGACCGAATTTTAGAAAAACGTGTTATAAATATATATAAAATAATATAATTAATATAACAAATAATATGATAATATAAATATATAATATTATCATGTATTAATATTAATATATTATATATAATATTATCCTATATTAATATTAATATATTAATATATTATATATGATATTATTCTAAATTAATATATTAATATATTATATATATTATATATAATATTATCACATATTGATATTAATATACTCTATATATTATAAAAATAGCATGAAGATAGAAACAATGGCAGAAACGATAGAAATAATATAAGAATTGAATCGTGGAAGACGATTTCGCATAAGAGATTCTGGGATGCGTGGGATTCGTCACGGTCCTCCGACAGTAAGCAGTCGCCTCTCCCACTCCGCGGCCGGACCCAATTCTTCAGCGATGCGTCGTCGGGTCGCATCTGCCTTCTCCGAACGTACTTTCTTTCGACAAACAGCCTCCGACACCCGATAACCGGAAGATAGACGGTCGGACAATAGTCCGGTTCAGAAAATCCAGTGACAAGTTGTTACAACTTTTGAACCATCTAAGATATCGCAATGGAATTTTCCATTGAAAATGATTAAAAAATAGTAATTTTTAGCTGCCGCTAATTGAATATATTTGTTGCATTTGTTAAGCGATAAATTTCGATAAATTTTCATTGCTATGTTTGATTTAAGAAAAGCATTGTTTAAATGTAATTATGTAATTGTTTAAATGTGGCAAACTATTTTTTACTTTATAAATATATAGTATTAAGTATTAAGTATTTATATCTCCTACGAGTAACGAGTTTTATGCAATACGATTCATGGAATATCGGCGGCCGAGCGCGGCTATGAGCGGCGCACGACGCGGTCCTCTTTAAACAATTATAACTTCCAAACTGGTTGCTATAGGAACGCGATATTTTCGCTGTTATTTGAAGGAAGCTGTATAGAAAATATTCTTTTCTGTTAGAATCAAGAGACTGAAGGATTCCGAAAGTTATCCTCTGTCGAATGTAGCGAATTTTTTAAATTCCTTACGCATCGATCGGTGTTACTTTTATTAATATACAGGGTGTTCCGAAATTATGGTACTTCCGATAAATGAGGGGTTCCTGAGGTTATTTGAAGCAACTTTTTCCTTTGCGAAAATGTTCTACGAGGCTTCGTTTACGAGTTATTAACGAAAAATAGTGACCAATAAAAGGCGAGCGCAGTTGGCGCTAGGCGGCCGCTCCAACCAACGGTCGAGCCCGGCTCCGCTCATTGGTTCCGCCGCCTCGCGTCAGCCGCGCTAGCCTCTCATTGGTCAGTGCTTTTTTGTTAATAACTCATGAACGATGCCTCGGAGAAAATTTTTGTAAAGGAAAAAGTTGTTTGAAATGATCTCAGGAATCCCTCACTTCCCGGAAGTACCATAATTATGAGACATTATATATTATGACTAAGAAAATATATGATTTCTTATTAGGAAGGTATTTTATAATATTATATTTTTATTATATTTGTTATATTATAATAATAATATAAAACGATTGAGAGAAAACATGGAACACGATGATCAAGACATCGCGAGAAAAGTGAGAAGTTAGGCTAACTAAAATATTTATTGAATTTCATTAATTTTTCAACATTTCTGCGCTGCACAGACTTTCGTAAAACAAATCGAATAATTATCGAACAATTAAAATTTTCATAAAACGTCACTGAGTTCTTCAAACTGGACCACTGTGCGATGCCCAGATCTGGCCCCGCTCGTTCACCGATAAGGCCCTACACGACGCAATCGCAAATCTACCAAAGTCCCAGCATCGTAATTAACATTTCGAGCATCGCGAACATTCGTTCGCATCAGCGAACGATCCGACTAATCCGCGAAGCCGTGAGACCGTCGCGACGTCCTTGGGCCTTATCACCTCGAAGATTTATTCATCCGGATTGGTCGGCGAACACCGTCGGCGGGACCGTGAGACCTCAAAATTTCTCAAGAAAACGGTAACCTTGCTGTATCTGTATCGCGTGCGCAGCGGGGCCCGACGCGGCGTCGTGACACCACTTATACATTAGAGGCCTTTCACATACTGGCGAAAGACGGCGGAGGGGGACATCTGGCCGCAGCCGCTCGCGGATCCCTCTTTATAAATTACACGTCTAAAGGTCACTGGACGTTTCTTTGAGAGCCCAGAACCATCATTCGTACCGTGCACCACGGTTTCGCAAACGGATTAAACGGTTTTAATTTTCCGGCCGGTATCTTCTGCTCCTCTCTCTCTCTCTCTCACTCTCTCTCTCCCTGATTTATGAAGCTCCCCCACGATCATAGCGGTGGCCACCGCCGGCTCCATTAGACCTCATTCGGTCCGAAACGTCGCTTCGGATGGGACGCGCCGGAGCGTTGGGTGCCCGCCGGCGCGGGCGCCGACTTCGGCGGTCGGGTGTCCGCGTCGGATCGGCCGCGACAGAACGCCGTTTCCGTCGACATAAAAGTGTCACGACGTGGCTTATTAGCCACGGGGCGACTAATTAGCGGCGCGAAGTGCGCCGCAAGGTTTTCGAAACGCCGGGCCCTACGTTCGCGCTCGGGACTTATAATTGGCGGTGCGCGGGGCGACGCGTTCCTTAGCGAAGAGAGAATTCGGAAATCGGTCGGACAGCGCGACGCGGGCCGCACGACGATGGAGCAGCAGTTAATCAATTGAGAGTGCGTTGCATTTCGCACGGGCGAGCCTTTCACGATCATTGGCACATCATCATAGCGACGCGCTATGCGGCCGAGCGCCGTTATATAAGAGGCTCGTGGGCGAGGCGTGAGATAATCCCACGAAGACGGTATTCGATATACATATATATATACATACATATACATACATACACGTGTATTAGGATCGATTACGTGAATAGTCCGTGCGGCTTAATTCGATCCGGAATCCGCGCGGCGTTATTAATCCAGTATAACGGTGGCTCTGCGCTTTCTGAATGACCGTGCTGCGTGAGTTCCAATGGTGTATATCGCAAAACACGTTCACCTTGACTAGAATCGCGACGACGCGCTAAACCCGCCTCGTGACAGTTCTACACAGTTTCGGCCGTTTACGGTGTGCTTTCAGCGTGTCCTGTGGATCGCAGCCGTAGCGGCGGTGCTCTCCGTATGCCGTGCGCAAACGTCCAATGAGAGAAGCAAGCGGGCGATACTAGCAAAATCTAGTTTCGGTGGATACAACTATGAGCCGCCGGAGGAGAAGTTCACCTTACCGCCACGGTAATAGTCCGTCGACGATGATGATGATGATAATAATAACCGGGCGACGAGGCGGGCGACGCGGTGGTACTTAATTTAATTTTTATCGGTCTGTTTTAGCTCCCCGCAGCCACCAACGAGACCAACTGGAACGCACGGACCACCGGTCACCACGCCGGGGTATCACTACGACACGACTCCGAGGTACACTCAGCCTCCGACCAGGCCCCATGACGTCACCAGGCCCCACGACGTCACCAGACCCCATGACGTGACCAGACCGACGGGAGGATACACGTATCCGTCGCCGACGCGGCCATCGTATGGTCCGCCGACGGGCCCACCGACAAGGCCCACCGTCACGCCATCTTATACGCAGTCGCCTATAGAGTTTACACAGCCGCATGGACCATCGCCGCCGCCTACTTCCAGGCCGCCGGTCATCGGATACGATTACCCAGTGCCGAAGGAGCCGCTAAGGCCCCCGAGCAGGCCGCAGTTTCCACCCGGGCCACCAGTGAGGCCCCCATCTCCTCAGCCGCCGAGGCCAGATTTCCCACCAGTGAGGCCCCCATCCCCTCCACAGCCTCCGAGGCCAGAGTTCCCACCAGTGAGGCCTCCATCTCCTCCACAGCCTCCGAGGCCCGATTTTCCGCCAGTGAGACCGCCATCCCCTCCACAGCCTCCCAGGCCAGATTTTCCTCCGGTGAGACCGCCATCCCCTCCACAGCCTCCGAGGCCAGATTTTCCGCCAGTGAGACCACCATCCCCTCCACAGCCTCCGAGGCCAGATTTTCCGCCAGTGAGACCCCCATCCCCACCACAGCCTCCGAGGCCTGATTTTCCGCCAGTGAGACCGCCATCCCCTCCGCAGCCTCCGAGGCCAGATTTTCCGCCGGTGAG